CCAATATATTGAAAGCTCAGTTCTTGGAATTAAAATAAAGGAAGACAGCAACATAAAACTTTTCTCCTTTTAAATACTTGGCCATTACAAAATATGTACATAAAGAACATAGCTTTTGCAGCTATTGCCTATGTGAAGTGTTAAAAACTATTCCCTCACAGTTTTAGGTGGTATCCACACTCCCCTGGGGTATTAAATACTACTAAATCCTAGGTACAGGATTATTGGGTAACATAAAAACACATAGGAATAAAAAACTCCAATTAATGTCTCAAAATTTTCTCCCTACTCTGGACTATTGGCAGATTCTATCAGTTTATATCACCAGAAAACCAGACCAGAAATGCAAACAGAAGAAATGCAATAATCCAAGATTCCACATAATAATTTTTCCTGCTGTGAAGAATTGTTTCATTATGAGAGTGGAACGGGCTGTTTTAATTTCAGGAAGAAATTGATTCAACATAATTTTAGTTCTCTCCTAGATACTTCCTTAAGTTACAAAAATTAAAACAAAGGAGAGAAAAATATTCTTACGTGTTTACATCGTTATCTATAAAAATACAAAGATCAATCTGGCTTCAGCCCTCTCTTCCACAGAGAGCAACAGAACAATCTCTGTAGAGGGCTGAGGGGAAAACAGGTGTAACCTACAAAGTCTTGACTGAAGATAAGGATGTGGGAACCACTGGTTCAGAAGAAAGAGCTGAGGTGTTGACTGAAGGAATTGCTCAAGCAGAGAGTCTAACGTGAGAAGAATAGAGGATGAGAAGCAGATGGCAAAGAACACTAATGGTGAAGGGACAGAGAGGAAGGGGGGGAAGTGGTCACACATAGGGAGAAAGCCTAAGAGTGTTCATAAAGTCAGAAGAATGAAATGCTTCTACACCATGAATCAGCAGGCAACTGGGCTGACCAGACATGGCCATGAGACTGAATAAGGGAGAGGCTGAAAGTGCCTACTGGATTTGAGGATAAAGAAGTCACTATATACTTCACTGTAAATTTTCATTATAAAGATGTTTGGTTGTGATTTCACAAATATAATGAATTTTGAGCATTAAAATGAGTAATAATCCATTTATTTTTCAGTAACTGGAATGAATTCCCCACAATATTCAAACCCCACAGAATGGCACATTTCCTTTTTACTTTGTATTTGAGGGTTTTTTTTTTTCAGGGTCTCATGACACAGCTCAGACTCATAGTGATCCTCCTGATTTCTGCCTCCCTAGTGCTGGGATTACAGGCATGCGCCACCATGCCGGGACACCATCACCCACTCAGCACGCCCAGGGGAGGGGGCAGCCTGGGGTGCCAGGGATTTATTTTGTATTTGGAGTGATATCATCTGCATACCAATAAGTACATAATAAATACGTACAGTTTAAGAAGAATGATAAAATGAAAACCCACAAGTCGGGTCAAGAAAACATTAATAGGAGCTTAAGTACAGCCAGGGCTGGGTGCCCTATTGATCCACACCTCTTTGGTCTCCTGAGCAGTGATCAAAATCTGAATCTTGTGCCATGTATAGTTTCCCACCCCTGTAATACCAGCAGCTTGGGAGATTGAGCCTGGAGGATCCCAAGTTCCAGCCCTGGGTACCATAGCGACACCTTTACTCAAAAAATTAATTAATTAATAATAATAATAATAATAATAGTGTAATCATATTCCCCTACTTTTTAAAAGTGTTTTATATTTAATTATTCCTTTTTTAATTTTTTTTCCTGTACTTAGGACAGGGTCTACAGTGTCTACAGGGTCTCACTACAAAGATCAGACTCATAGTGATTCTCCTGTTTTCTTTTTTTTTAGTTATTCCTTTAACAAAATTCCTTCCATTAAATTTGTTTAAAATTTGTAAGAAATAGAGCCCTGCGTATATTCTGCAACTTGCTTTCTCGGGTCAACATTCTGGCCTGAAGAGTCAACTATGTTGATGCACATGGTTATCATCCACTCATTTGCACTGCTGTATGGGATTTTATTCGATGAGTAATATAGAACATTATTGGCTCATTTAACTGCTGTAACCACTTGGTTTGCTTCTCAGTATTTTATCATTGTAAACAATATAGCTATTAGTATTCTTGCGCATGCCTCCTCACAATTAGCCTGAATCCTGTTGCCGCAATCTGTCCTGCATGTCCTGGTTGGTAACTGCTATGGTCTTTTAGTAGCATCCGAGATGGTGCTAAGAGGACTTATTCCTGTGATGCGTGTAATAAGTTCTTTAAATTTGTATTTCCATCTTTATTTTGAGATATTTTTGTGGAAGGTTAACCACAATATCCTCAAATTTCAACATACCATTTATCAAAGGAAAGAAAAAAAGCTACTAGATGTTGTATATATAACATCAATGGTAAATTTTTCAATAATTTAAAAGTTTTACATTTTATTTTACTTGCTACAAACTTCTTGCAGTCAATGATTGTCAAGAATTTAAGGAGATCATGATAGAAAGCTTTGCACAGGAACTACACATATTTACTTTTATCAAAACAATTAATTATAAAATGACTATGGAAGCATGTTCAAGCTTTTCCTCTTAAAAATGAAAATATTTTACATGAATTTAATACCTTTCTCAATACTTTTTGTGGTAGCTGGCCTCCAAGATGGCATCCAATTGCTCTTTCCTCTGCCATCTACATCACTATATACTCTCTTGCTTTTAATAAGGCAAACTTCTTTAAGTCATAGAATTCATATAAAACAGGGTTTTGTGTATTTGGGCTAACTCATAAGAGAAAATGCGACCTCTGTCTTTTCTCTTTTAGATCACTTGGACTGGAGAAGCCAACTACAGCATTAAGGGGTAACTCGCATCCCTAATGGAGAGTTCCACACGCTGAGAAAGCAAATCCTCCTGCCCACCACCACTATTGGCCCAACTAGCCATCTGAGTGAGCCATCTTGCAAATGGCCCCTCCTGGACCAATCAAGCCTTTAAGTGACATAGACCCTGAGGACATCTTGCCTGCAGCATCATGAGTGATCCTGAACCATAAACATTTGGCTAAACTACTCTCAAGTTCATAACCCACCATGAGATAAAAAATGCTAATTGATTTGGAGTAATTTTGGAATAATTTGCAATACAGCAATAGATATCTAATGCGCTATGTTTCTTACATAATTACATACTACAAAGAAAGTGACTGTTTCCAATAAAGATAGTAGAGATAATTTTCAATTCATCTTCTAAAATGGAAAAGAGATGTTTTATGGAGAAAGGCAAAATACCTTGGATTACAGTGTTAGGAGCCTTTACCCTCAGACAGATACCTACAAGTCATCATCATGGGTTCCTTTGTTTCTATTTTTATGTCCATTGAACCAAAAGAACAAAGGAGACAAAGGACAAAAAAGATCACAGAGAGGGTGGCACAAGTTTTATTTTAATGTTTTCTGGAAACCAGTGTCCCCGCCTTCATTCTGTATGCAGAACATGAACACACTTGGAGGCCCTAGGCCTCAAAATGATAATGCCTCTCTGTGTGCATAAAAATAGGATACTACACAAAATTATGATATGTGTAAGAAACCTCTGACATTTCTATTTTTCCCTGATGCTTTGTTTGAAATGTCAATTATCGAATTGATCATAAAAGTCCTTTAAGTGCCCCACTTTTCCCTTTCCTCATAATTGGTCTGCCTAGTGTTTAATCCGGAAGTGATAAACTCTTCATAGACATAAAGATCCATTTTCTAATGTGGACATTTTGCATCATCATTACCTCCTGTGTCCCAATTTTGAGATCAATCATTTTACCTTCCACCCACTGGCGTTTTCCTGAGGGGCTGTTGCTAGCCAAGGTGCCTTTGATAGTTGCGCTTCTGTCTCTAGTCCTTTGAAGCCTATTATAAACTTTCATCTTGCCCAGAACACACAGCCCCTGGGAGGTGACTAAAATCAGAGTGGAGGTTTAAAGAGGAGCTCCCTGCAGACTCTTAGTTCTCATGTGAACTTGTCCATTTCTGAGGGGTCCGTACAACTTCTCCTTCCATGCAAGCCAAGGGTCCAACATTTTATTTATCCCGATCAAGAAAGACTTAACTTATGCCAAATGCTGATTTCTGAGGGCAGACAAGGTTTCTTCGTATTATCCCTTTCTGAAAACACGTCTAGACAGAGCACAGGATGAGGATGCTCTAAGCACTCTGAGTATTTGCAAGAGCTTCGCTCAATTTTAGAAGAATTGATGATGAGGATGCCATGGGTATCAAAGGGATTGTGTGCCCTTCTGGCACATGAAGAACATGCCTAAGACGTGGCAAAAGCAAAGCACTCAATAGAACTTTTTCATAACTGACATTAAAGTTATGAAACCAAACTGTTCAATACAAATAGTAGCTACACTGCCTATTTACTTTTCAATAAAATTTAAAATTCAGCTCCTCTTCAGCACCAGCACATTTATGTCCACAATGCCCACCTGTGACTAGCCCAGATCTAGAACAATTTGGTCATGACAGAAATTCTATTGGACAGTACTGTTCTGAAGGATTTTAAGCCTTCATCGTGGAAAAAAAAATAAACTTCATCGAATTTCCGTACATCTACTTTATGATTGGCATCGTGTTTAAGTTTGTAAATTAAACATTTAGGATAGGTGTTACAGAACCATTCGAAGTTCAGCGTCTGGACACCTCTGAGGAGTGTAACCGGACCTTGACCAAAAGAATCCGTGACAGCGTTTATGTGCTTAACCTTCTCTTCTTTCAAGGCATCCCACTAATAAACAAACTATTACCGGCCACAGTTGTCCAAGCAACTCCAGTCCACCAGACCAGTCACTAAACTGGAGCGTCTGCTGGTTTCCTGGCAACAGTGACGCGACCCCGCCCCTTCGTTTTCCCCCCTCCACCCCGCCTACCTTATTTGACTGGAAGGGGATGGGTCAGGAGTCCTTGGCCCAATAGGAAGGAAGTAGAGGAGGGAAGTCCTGGCCGCGTCCTCGTCGCTAGGGAAACCAATGCACCTTGAGGCCGCGCGCGATGCCGAGCGCTGAGGATCTGGCGCTGCTAGCTGCAGAGAACGCAGAAGAGGAAACCGGCTCCGACCCGAGACTGCGTCTCCTGGGGGCCTACGTGGCTCAGAGCCTGCGGCCGGCGGCGGGTGCATGGGAGCGCTGCACCGGGACAACCGAGGCTGAGCATCTGCTTCAGGCCTTCCTGGGCTGCGATGCTGCAGAGGGGCCGAGGCCATTGCTGGTGGTGCGGCCGGGACCCGGGGGCCTGGCGATGCGACAGGGGATGGACGCGGGACCCGAGTCCGGCCCGGCTCGAGCCAAGGGATTGTTCTTCCTGCGCACCAGGCCCGAGCCTCCAGGGCCCACCAGCCTCCGAGGGGCAGTACTCTGCGGGGACCTGCCCGCTGCGCCTCTGGAGCACCTAGCCGCGCTAATCTCCGAGGTGAGGGAGGGCTGGCGGTCCCTGGCCTGCAGGAACAAGACGGTGAAGGGGGAGGGGCCTTGGGGAAGGGCGGTTCAAGATGGGGCGGGGCGAGTCTGCAGGGGCGGACCAAGGGGCGGGGCGAAGACCGGGCACCAGTTCCTGAGTAGGGTGAATATTGAATGGGGTTGGTTGGGGCAGAGCCAGAGTGCTAGTGGAAGATCGGAGCTAGATGTAAACTAAAATTATCTGAGGTGTAGATGCGGATGTGTGAGCAGTGGAGGAAGTCTGGGTGGAGGCCAGGCCACAGTGAGAATGGAAAGAGATTAAGAATTGGGACATTCCAGATCTGGCTTCAAGAGTGCTTGAGTCCTGACCTCTTCATAAACCAGTATTTAGAAATCCTTCCTTTTAGTTGGGAAGGTCCGAGGACCAGAAGTGGTGTGCGGGACAATATTTCTACTAACCCATGAATGCTTACAAGTGAGCATTTACAGGATGAAAAGGCGGTGAAATTGTATTAGTTCTGCAGAGGGGTACAGGTGGAGAAGATTTCATTTCGATTTTCATCTTTCATTCATAGCGCTACACTTCACAAAAGGTCATCCCTGTGCCCACGGAAATCGGGCAGCCTTTTGGAAATGCCCAACAGGCACTCGGAGGCATTTGTATGGAGGTCAGAGAGAAAAGTCCAGTTGTGAGTTATGGAGAGATTTGGTGACATCATAGCAGAAGCTCTGAGGGGACAAGAGACTCCAGGGGGTGCTCAGGACATCGTTGGGCAGGCTTCTTTTCCAGTCGGACACATGTGCCTGTGCAGTCTGGTGTCCTGGGTCCTGTGGACTCTGACATAAGTTTGTACAGAGTACTGACTATGACATGTTTCACATGATAGTTGCTTTGGGGAAACAGGAAAGTAATAAGAGGCAAGTTTCCTTCCCTAAAGTTTAATTGAAAGAGCTAAAATATGCAGTTAATCCTGTATTCACAACACTGATTTGAATACTAAGGAGTGGGGATAGAATTTGCCTCAAAGTTACCCAGTATGCAAGAGCCAAGGCCTGAATGTTCCCTACCATATCAAGTTTCAATCTTTTAATTGCTTTATCAGGAAGCTGTGCAGAGGAGGATTTCTAAGGAAAGGGTCTAGATGGATATAAGTTTGCAGAGGTCCTGGAAAAGCTTAGTTTATCCATGGGTATGGAAATATTTCGATAGATTAACAATCAGCATATACTTTCTACCATGCACTGTGTGAACAGCACCCCAAAAGTGTAAGCTTAGGTTAACTCCCTAGATGAACCATGACAGAAGCTGTTATTGGCTCCCAAGTTGCGTCCCGCATGTTGTCTGAGAATCACGCTTGGACTTCAGTGTTGTACTTGCTCCTGAACAAGGAAAGTACAGAGCAAGGGGACTTTCTAAGTGTGTGGGCAGGGTGAACAGAGCTTCAGAGACAGGATGCAGCCTCATGATGCAGGAGACAGTAGGCCCATCTCCACACTGTCATGGCAGGAAAAGTGAAAAGTAGTACAGCAACTGTCTCAGTTACTCTTCTCTCATTGCTGGGACAAATACCTGGCACCCAAAATGGAGGAAGGAAAGGTTTATTAAGCTCAGAGTTACTGGAGGTTTCAGTCCATACTCAGCAGGCTCCAAGACAGCCTGGCACATGGCAGAGAGCAACCATTGATGACTGCTGCAAAGAGCAAGCGCAAAAGAGGAGTAGTGGTGACAATGGTTTCAGAGAACAAGTCTGTATCCCTTACGTTGCACTCAGGTTATCCACCCCAGGCTGGGTAGTACTGGAACCCATAATCCCAGCAGCATTTACACCCATAATCCCAGTGGATCATGAGTTAATCTCAAACTCTAAAAGTCCACCCCATGACTGCATGAGGCTTTGAGGGGACAACTAGACACAAACCATGACAACTAAAAGTAATTTTAGAATAATTCAAAACCCGCAAACATACAATCATTTTCTTGCCACTTTGAACAGGATTACAAAGAAACAACATTAAATATTCCTTAATCAGGGGCTGGGTAGGTAAACCGTACCCCACCTATTTAATGAAATTCAGTGGCTCCATTAGAAAGAACGATTGATATGGAACATTCCTTAAGATAGTTTTTTATTTCCAAAAAAACATAAAAATTCATCTTTTCAACAATTTCTAAGGACAGTACAGTATTGTCAAACATATATACCTAATTGTATGACAGATATGTAGAATTTCCCTGTCCAGCACTACGGAAACTTTACAACTGCCAGGCAACTTCCTCCCAGGCAAACACCACTCTGTACTATTTCTATCTATGAATTTGACTGCCCTATGTACCTGATGTAAGTGCAGCATTTGGTTCTTTATTTCTGGCTTTATTTCATTTATCCAAATGTCCTCAAGTTTTATCCCCATTGACACATGCTAATGAAACAAGGAACTACAGGTAGTTAGGCAGATAGGGCACAGGTCCGGAATAGTTAACCTAAAGTAAACTAAAATTCAGGGCTCAGGTGAGTTAACATACCAGAGCTACCCAACATAATTAACCTAAGCAAACTCACAATACAAACTGGCAATCAGGGCCTGACAGAATGCAAGGAACAAATGACAGGTCCCTAAACAAATGGGAGAAGCCTTGAAGAAAGTGAAATGCAAATGAAGCAGCTTGCATTCTGGACTTCAAAAACCTACTCACAGACAAAAGCAACCCGGCATTCTGTTGGGTTCACCTACACTAGTGATGGCAAACCTTTTAGAGCATTTAATGATTGCAAACAGCTGGCCGCAGCATGTGTCCCATAAGTTTTCAATCACTGATCTATACAAAAAAATCTGTAAAACTTTCTGGACTTAAACTTCTACAGCATCCACCTTATGGAACCCTTTCCCAGGTAATGGGGAGCTTTTCCTTTCATTTCCTCTGACACACATACATTAGGCTATTCCCCATTGCTTGCTCCTTGCTATTTGGTTGGCTTTAATCTTTATTGGCATAAAACAGGGACACAAGAGCTAGATGGAGCTGGTTGTATCAGTGTATCCAGATTTATTATGGATGGACAAAAATATCTAGTACTCACAATTTAAAGGGTTTAATTTGGCTCATGGTTGGAGGAGTTCAGTCCATGGCAATCTGGCTCCAAGGTAGACACATAAAGGTGAAAGAGCATGTCAAGGAGAGCTACTTCCCTTATGGCAGCGAGGAAGCAGAGAGAGCAAGCAGGAAGGGACTGAGTGTAGCATGTACACTTCCAGATTATGCCACAATGGCCCACCTCTTCTGGCCAAGACCCAACCCCTAAAAACACACTGAGCTCTGAATCCGCCAGTGGATCAAGTCCCTGATGACTATAGTGCCCCCATGTGACAATCGCCTTCCCGAGGCCACACCTCTGAACACAAGACACTGAAGGAATATTCTAGATCTAAGTGATAATGGTCATGATTTTTTCAAAGCCAAAGAAGATTCTACTATACATCACATTTTCATTATCTCTTCATCTGTCTTGCGTATCTAAGTTGTTTCCACATTTTGGCTATTGGGAGTAATGCTACAAGATAAGACAAGTTTTAAACAAGTACAGAACCGTATACATAGTATATTTCATTTATACTAGAAGGATAAAGAAAAGAGGAAAGGAGAATGGAAAGGACAACATAAGCAAGTAATCCATTCTGGGGGAACTGAGTGGTTGAGATAAAGAGATAGGTAGAAGTTTTATTTATTTTTTTTTTGCTTCAAAAGCTTTTGTATTTTTGCAGTTTTGTACCATGTAAATGTACAATCTATTTAAAATTTAAATAAAAATAATTTATTTGAAAAACACCTCAAATCCTTTACTTGCATTTCTCAAAGCCTATAGAAGGAATACCTAGTTCATTCAACCCTCTGTTCTCTTATCCACTTCTGTTACATGCCTGAAGCTGACTCAGTTTCCCTGGGAAACCTTCTTCGTCTCTCATCTGCCAAGCCTCTCCCTGTGTCTCCTCCAGGCCAACCCCCTCCTCCATTGCAGCACCTTAATTCAGCACAGCCTCTGGCTTTTCCTTCCATCTTTGGACTCAGTAGTATAAAAGCCAAAAGTTCACCTCAGAAGTTCTCCTCCTGGGGTGTGTGTGTGTGTGTGTGTGTGTGTGTGTGTGTGTGTGTGTGTGTGTGTTTCGTTGGTTGAGGAAGATGCTGATGAAAAGAAAAAGCTATAATTTCAACATTATCTTTGTCCCATTACACTAGTACAAGGAGGGAATATGCATCTAAAAATCTATGAAGGAGAATCTAACAGAATTTAGTAACTGCTTTTCCTCATTCTTTTCTCCTTCCAACCACCTGAACCTCACTGCCAGATTATTTTTACTAGTGTTCTGAGATTTGGCTGCTGTTTTAGATTTTTGTGAGGAATGTAGAGTCTGACAGATCTCTGTTCCCTGGTTCTGTCACATTTGTCAGCATGATGTGAGCTGGTAAGTCTACTCTCTCAGATCCCAACTGTCTCCCAGGGTTGTTGTGAAATTTAGTTTTTTAATATATGAAGACACCTGGAGCAGAGTGTGTCACATTGTAGGCATTTCAGAAAGGGTGAGAGTCATCAGCCCTCCATATACCATTTCCAAACCTCTGATGGCTCCTTGTTACTTTGCTGTAGCCTAGCCTGGCTCTTCCCTGAGGACTTGACGGCATCACCCATTGCCCTTCTGCCCATGAGCCTGGAGGTGGAATGGGAATCCTCCTTAATTCTCTTCACTTCTTCTCCATTCAGATCAAATAACCTAGAGTTTGAAGTTTTATCCTCAGATGGGCATGCTCACCCTCACTGATGCATCCTGTGCGGACAGCGGAGCCCTTCTGTCTCCATGATTCTGACCTCTGGTCCAGTGGGACTTTGACCAACTCTGTTTCTGTCTTAATCTATGGTTATTTCAATGGACATATAACTGGTCTTTCTAATGACTTGGCCTCTGGGTTCCCTCAGCCTTTCCCCTCCAGAAATCCTGCCTCTCCTATCTTAAGCATCCTTCTCTTACACATTCCAGTGCTGATCACTGAGAAGCCCCATGATTCAGTTTTATGTCCCTCTGCCTGTGACAACTACTCCTCCCTTTCCAGCTTTCTCCCTCTCATACCTTAACTACAACAAACCTGGGACCATATTGGTACCTCCAGTCCACTGGGACTGCTGCATCCCTGGTCCTCACCCACACCTGTGTTTTACCCTTTCCTCAGCATGAGTGTGATAAGCATCATTCCAGTCATTCCCTTGCATCAACTCCTGACTTGCTTTTACTTCACTGTGTTTACTCACTTGGCAACACCTCCATCCTGGTTAAGTCCCCTCCCTACTCTGTGTCGCACCATGAAATGCACTAGGAAAAAGCCACTTAGCTCCACTTAAATTTTGGAGTTTGAGTCTCTAATTGTTCTTTTTATTTTTCCTGACAGACAGCCTATATTTTCTTTCTGATTATTTTCTTAGCATTTTATATCACATGTCACACTTTCTTTTTTCAGATCTTCAAATGTCCAAAACTTTCTTTTTTAACCTCATTCTGTGATGCTCTTGCTTCTTTCTTTGGAAAAAGGAAATAGAAATAATAGAATGAAATTTTCACAAACTGTTATATCCACCCTGTCTGTCAAAATCCATATGCAAAACCATCCTTCCCATTGTCTTTCTTGTCTGAGTCCAACCCTATGCTTAAAACTGCCATTTTTGTCCTGAATCCCATGACAGAAAATTCCTCATCTCTCCTCTGTTCTTTTTACCTCCCTTTCCACTAGATCATTCTCGTAGCCATCACTGTACTTCAAGAACCCTTCTTAAAGCACAGTTCTGGAATGTGTGTCGTTTTTACCATGGCCTAGTCTTCATTCTGGTCTCATATCTAGACATCAGGCTTTCACTCCCACCCTCCTTAGAAGAGAAATGAAAGAACTTGACAATGCTTCTAAATGATCTCTGCTTGCTCAAATCCGATGTGCTTCCTCTTCTTTCTAGCTTGTTAACATTGGAGGCCCCTAGTGATGGTTCCCGGGCCAACTTCTCTGTGTATACTTTTCTTTGAAGGCTCTCGTACAACTTCAGAGTTTTCAACCCTCTGTATTTGACACCTCCAAAGTCTATCTCTGTCTCATCTTCTCCTCTTATCAGCCCCTAAGCATATTTAACTCCCTTCTTTGTGTTTTCAGCTTGAAGCCCCTAGGACACATCAAATTTTATCCTGTCCAAATGCAAGCTCCTGCTCCTCTCTCCAGAACTTCACCCTTATTGCCCCCTCCTCCACATCCATTAATGACAACTCTATTTCTCCCATTGCTCAACTTTAGGAGTAATGAGGACCTTTTTTTTCTCTCACAACTCCAAAATCAACTCACACCACCTCATATTGAAAAGAAAGTTACAGACCTTCCTCTTGATCACTACCTCTGCCCCAAACCACTATCTTCTGTACAACAGCAGTAGCTTCTGTCTAGACTCCTTTTTCACTTTTGCCTCCTATAATCCCTCCTCAACGAAGTAGCTTGAATGATCCTACTAAAAGGTGACAGGCCACATCACACCTTTGCTCAGAATCTCTCAATGGTGTTCATTTCTTCAAAAGTGAAAATCCGAATCCTATGAGCAAGGCTGCAACTGATTTGACCCTGAACTATTCCTGTTTGTTGTCCATCTTGTATTAAGCTCCCTATTCTCAACACTGCTTCTTGATCAAACCAGGCAGGCTTTAGCCTCAGGGCCCTTGCACTTTTATGTTTTCTACTTGCAATTTACCTCGCCCAACAATCTGCAAAGCACTCTGCCCACCCACCTGCCTTTGTCCAAATGCTTTTTTCACAAAGATACCTACTCCACTGATCTTCATGGTTGCATGCTCTCCAACTCATCCCCTTAATTGACCTCTTGTGTTTTATTTTTATTCATAGAACTCACTGTTTATTGGCTGCTTCCCTCCTAGAATATAAACTCCTTGAAGTCAGGAATTTTTGTCTGTTCTATTCACTGATGTGTCCTCCTAGCACTTACAATAGCATTAGCATATAGTAAATGCTTAATACTTATTAAGTAAATGGACTCAAGTTTTGTTACATAATTTTCACATGTAGTATTTTTCCATCACTCTAAACCTTCCAAAGTCCAACTGAAGCCTTCTGATCACTCTTTCTTGAGACAGAAGACTTCCATAAAGCTCTATGGAGTGCTGTGCAGATGCTTGATCCTAAGGGACAACAGTACATATATAAGGACCACTGACATTAGTCATTGCCTTTGAGATCCTAGGAAAATTTCAACTCTTTCTCTTTCCCTATTAGACCTTCTGCTCTGACTCCAAAGCATCTGTTCTCACCATGAATGTGACAGAGTTTAGTCCTTGGCCTTTTTTAAAAAACTCTCTGTTCATATATTATGATTTCTCAGTGAATGTTTCCAATAATACCAGGCAAAACAATTGTCTCTAATTTAATGTTTGGGTTCTAAGCCTTCTATTTCACGCTTTCCAGGTCATTTTAGCCATCCACAGGACCTATCAGCTGTATGGATCTATGTCTCCTTTTCATTATTTCCTTGGTGGGTTTCTCATCAAGTTACCTGATCCTCAGATTGCTTGTCTTACTAATATCCCTGTAGCAATAGTAGTACAGTTTTAGTAGACAGAGGTTCCTAGTGAGTTGTGCTGATAACTTTTTAAATATCTGACGATAGACAATTTAAACCAACTCAGGAAATTCAGAAGCAGCTTGATTTCAAGAGCCAATTTGGTCTTTCTCCTCCATACGTGCTTTTCTCCTCCGGCGAACGGTAGTCTAAAGCTCCATTTGAGATCAAAATTCCCTCCCAAAGCTCCAAACTGGAAGCATAGAGAAGACATCTCTTCCTTGAAAAATTCAGACAAGAGACCTTGGCCTGACGCTCACTGATTCGGATTTGGTTCTGTGTCTGCCTCAAGATTTTGGATTGGGTCTCAGAAGAAGAGGAGCTATGTCCAGCAGCCAAACTTAGCTAACGTTCACTCTAAAGATGGAGGGGGGAAGAGAGGGGCAGGTGAAAATAGCTAAGATGTGACGTGCACGTGTACCAACTTTGCACGATGAATATACTCCCTACGTGTTGCAAACACGTACTGATAAAATGATGATGATGATGATGATGATGATGATGATGATGATGACGATGATGATGATAATAACACTAAAGGAAATGATTCACAACTTTGCTTATTGGTTCCTCTTTACAACAATAGGCAGATTGTTCTTTACCTGAATTGGTCTGTGTGTGTGTGTGTGTGTGTGTGTGTGTGTCTGTGTCTGTGTGTGGTGTGTGTGTGTGTGTGTGTATGTGATTGCTTCATTTGGTTTCTATTTATTCTGTTCTATTCATACTGATGCCCCAGCTACGTGGTGATGACTGAACACAAAGCAACCAACATAGGGCAAATCAGATGGACTGTAGCTTATGAATCACATATACACACAACCAGTGGGGGCAGACCCCATACCATGCAGGTCAATGTTGGAGTTGCACTTAGGATTAGAGTGAACTCCCAGAGTGAACTCCCAGGGACCGTGGGAGGCACACTTTCCAATGCAAGAGGTATCCCTGGTAATCCTACAACCAGGCAGAGAAGTCCAGCTGAAGCTCAGGGCTAAAGAGGAACTGTACCAGTTCTTTTCTTTTGGTTTCAGGACCTTATCCATAAGAACGAAGTAGGGAGCAATGCTTGTGGGTCAGCTATGGAAGACCTTGCATATTGTATCAGGAGTCAAGGCCTTATAGTACAGTAACTCTCAGAAAGATGTGTATAACTGCATAGACCTTTTTTAAGAATCTTCTTGTGTAAGGTATCAGTAGAGAATGTATGCTTCACTGTGTCCCTGTTACAGGTTGTTGTACCTGTCCTGGCCAACAAGAAGAACCACTTAGGCTGGCCCCATATGGTATGCCAAGATGTTAGGAGGCAAGCCCACACCCTTCAGTGTGACCTCCTTGTTATCCTGGAACAAGTGAAGGGGAGAACATTGCTGCCTCTTCCAGTAGGCTCAGAGAAAGTGGAGTTTGTGGATCCCGAAAGTGAGACAGTGTAAGTACAGCCAGCTGGCCGTCTGGGCCCAGGAGATATGAGACAAGCTGGTTTATCTGACTGTTTGCTTTGAATGACTTTTCTGTTCCCGACACTACACAACTTCTCACTCTGCACTCAAGCCCGCTGTCTGCTCTGTTTGCCAGCATCCTCAGAATGTATGTTTGCACTGATTACATCCCTAGCCCTGGTCCTTTAGCCAGAAGTCTTTTAAGACTGTCACAGCAGTGGGGCCTTCTTTCCATTCAGAATCATTTCCAGGCTGAGAGCAGCCACACTGATTCCAGGACTTTGTTCATCAGGATAGCAGCTCTTTGTTAGCAAGGCTGCAGGTCCAGCCTGAGAGGCTGTGCCCCTCCTCTACTCAGTAGGCTCCATCACAGCACCAACTCTGGAACTTCTTGTTAGGATTCCAGCCTTCCTACCCCTCCCCTAAGCCCCTCCCCCTGCAGCAACTGACGTTTTTCAGGTTCTGCAATTTTTTTTTTTTCATATAGAAACTGATCTAGCTTCTCTGGGGAGTCCATGCTTCCATTCTTCTAAGTAGGTATTAAAGCCCCAGCCTCATCTCCTTTCAGAAGTTACATCTACTGAAAGCTTCCAATTACTATTCCAGCTTTGAGTTGTCACTGCTTCTTTCCCCTGAGGGTTTTTTCCCCTAAGCATGCTATGTGTATAAATAATATATTTTGGTACATTTCTGTCCTGCACTGCTACTGTTTGTGACAACAGGTGGTCTTCTTCCTCCAGGAACTTATTTTGCTGTACTGCCGGGAGTTTCTCAGTATATTACTGTGATTGTTCATGCAGGAGCCATGATACATCCAAAGAATAAGTAATGTATGCAAACAGCAATATACTTCATAATGAGTTTTTTCCTACTGGAAGCAATTTGCTACATATATACTTTGAAGTAATTTCCTATTTAACTGAAAATCTTATCATGATTTAATAAAAATATCCAATTTTCAAAATAAGTAAATTTAAGCTACCCCTTTGCTAGTCCCTTTATACCTTAACATAATAACATTCAGTGTACATGTATAACCCACATGGAGTCTTGCTCTTTTTCTTCAAATTTGATTATTATTATTCCCTCAAAGCCTGGATCGTTTTGGGGGAAGCCAATATCTTCTAATACCTTTCAGATTCACTTGAGCCACACAATTTCTCAGCAACTATGAACTTAATTGAATTAAGTAAAGGTGGGTTTCAGTCTTGGAACTGTTAATGACACACTACCTTCCTTTGTCACTATGCCCTTGGTGCTTGGCATTTATAAATTTCCATTAAAATGATGTGAAAGGGCAGCCATAATGCATCTTTAAAGATCTGTATTCTTTTCCAAATATAGCTAAGTTATTTTAAACAACATTTAAAAACTGGATGGGGGAGGAAAGCTTGAAAATTCCTTTCTTCATTGGAAAAGCAAAGACAGAGTAAAATTATAATGGTGGGTCCAGAAAAGCTGGTGGTTAGCTCTTGCAAGAGGAAGCAACCTATTTTCTCTTGCTTCAAAGATTAGAACTCAGAGCAAAATGAAGAAAGTTCAGGGAGATAGGTGTGGCTCCACGTGGAGACAAACCTTCTCCCGGGGTAAGCCGACCTATCAAGGAATGTGCTGCTTTATCAAGGAGGGAGCTTATTCTCATACATGAGATTCAAACAAGGTTGCATGGCCATCAGACATCTCTGTCCAAGGCATGATCATATTAACAGGAAGACTGGATAAAACTCTAAGTTTGCAAACAAGCCTTCAGAACATTGGTGAACCCTTGAATCTGTAGAAATCATTGTAGGATTTGTACAATTCATTGACTACTCCAGAGAGTCTATTATTGAAAAGAAAGGGAAAAAAACCCTAAGGTCAGCTGAAATTTCCTGTTTTTAAAAAACATGTGGTGGGGCCAGGGAGACAGCACAGTAGAGTAAGTGCTTGCCTGGCAAGCACAAGGCCCTGAGTTCAATCCCCGGTACCACAAAAAAAAAAAAAGATAGAAAAAACATGCGATGCTTTTTTAGATGCCACTCAGTGCTATGGTTTGAATATGATTTGAGCATTTTCTGAAGGATTTGTGTGGTGGAAGCTTAGTCCTCAGAGTGACAATCTCAGGAGGTGATGGAACCTTTACGGGCTTGAGATTTGTGCAAGTTAATTAGGACACTGGGGACACTGCCCTTCAAGAGGTTAACGCAGATCTTGTGGGCCCTTGGTTCCCTCTGTAATGTGTGGTTGTAAAAATTAAGATTGGCCCTTCTCCTCTCTTTGGCTTTCGGTCTTGCCATGTGATCCTTCCCATACTCATGTCCCGGTGATGCCATCTACCATGAGGCCCACACCAGATGACAAACTAATGGAGATTCCTGACCTTGGCCTTCCAGCTGCTAAAATCATGAGCTATTTTCTTTATAAGTTATCCAGCCTCAGGAATTTTGTTATAGAAATGGAAAACAAGTAATACACCAAGAATTATTTCCATATTTTCTAGGGTTTTTTTTTCTGTTTTACAGCTTAGAATCCATAGATAAGTCAACCATCTATGCCATTGAGACTGCAGTGATCAAGTGGACCCACCAAGTCCAGGTGGTGCTTAAGAGAGAGTCTTCTCAATCATTCTTACAAGGGGAGAATCCCACCCCCAAGGTAGAACTGGATTTCTGGAAGAAAAGGTATGTAGGAGGGTACATGTTGGGATTCTAGAAAAAAGGATGCCTTACAGAGGATAAAATCAGAGTTGTGCTAGGTAGCCAATAACTGGATCTGGTTCTTCTTTACAGAAATTTCTCATCCTTCCTGGGGACACAGATCAGTGTCATGGGGTCAGTATAGTTTTGCTATGGACTGGGAGATAAACTCTT